TAATAAAATTTATTATATAAGATTATTTTTTCATACTAATTATTCAACTTTCATTATTGTTATTATATAAAGTACATACAGTTATCTCGTTAAATTCATTGAAATGTTTATGGCTGTTAAAAAAAAATTATATATGCACGTGCAATCGCTGAGCGTGACTCGTTTGCACCCCTTTACGCGAAAACGAAGGAGCTGAGGCGAAAGCGTTTGTTGGTCATCGAAGGATCCACGAGACACGAGCATTTAAAGGGCAGGTTTGCAGTTTGGGTCTTGCCGTCTACCTGATACACGTATACGGAAAAATTACGCGTGTAGTGGTACGTCGTTCAAATTACGCGCGCGGCTAGGTTCAAACTTCAAAGCTAAGACATAACAGCATGCTAGACTGGGTCTACGCTATGGGCGGAAAAATCCGCAAAATCTTACATCAAGACTTTTAGTTCCACTTTTCCTCACCGTACGCGCGGCGATCGAAATTCCGCAAATCTTACATCACTGCCGTAGAGTCGTCCGAAAGATCCGAACAACGCGTTCGGAGGGAACATCTTCGTCCCAAAGAGACAATAGATGACCCCTGCGGCGAAAGTACAATTTGTAACTCCGTAGGACTGGTCTCACTTCCGACCGATATCCAATGTTTACCACATCTTATTGCAGGCAGTAGGAGCCGATTTACAATCAAGCAAAGCCCATACACAACATTTGGACGATTATTTATTAATCTCAGACATTAATGCACATTGCAATAAATTTATTTAAACCATTTTGCCATACTCATTTGTTCTGATATTTGTACTACTCCTTATGAAAATGGTGTAAGTACGAAAATAATGAAATTACGATTTTCCTTCGCTAAAGAAGGCCGACTTTTATGACTAGACGCTCATTTGAGGTTAATAAATAAAGACAATGCTCGGTTCGTGTACGTCAAGCACATCGGCAAGACCGCGCACGCGAATGTTCGCGCGCATTTTTCCCAATTCCCAAAGGGAAGCTCTCATTTTGCACGTTTTAATGATTACCTAATCAAGAAAAGTGAATGGGAATGTATGTGGAAAATATTCTCTTTCTTTGCTTTGCCAAGAAACATAGTATTGCAGTGTAATTAAGCAATAGCATACATAATTAAGTATAGATATTATGTTACTGACATCGTTGACATAATTATTATGTTCATTATTTATAAACGTATTTGAATTTTATGCAAATAAGTA